GAAATACTAGACACTGTGCCTAGCCAGGACATCCGCCCTGGCAAGAGAAAACAACGTTGATATATTCTTAGGAACTTCCTCGTCCAGATCCGGGTTAGTAAGCTAGCACCTTACTCCCTGGGCCGACTCGGCTCCGGGGATCATACTCACGGGATAAATAAATAAAATGGAAGATCGCCGGGCTAATGAAGACGGAGTTGCGGATGAGATCCCGGTGTCCGACAAGAAAGTTCACCAGGATTTGCCGCTTGGCTAACTCGACACAAACTAGGTCATTTCGGAACTAACATATGGTTCAGTTCTATTTCAATAATTCGCTTGCACATAGGGGTCTTTAGCAGTGGGAGGAAACCAGAGGACCCGGAGAAAACCCACGAGGTCGGACAGGTGACCCTACTCCTTGTGTCTGGCAAAGAAAAACGTCTAGTTGTTCAGGTAGGATCAGGAACACCATTGGCAGCACGGTAAAGATCCCTGCAGGGCTACTGTCCGGGACCAAATTTTCTTCATTTATGCATCTTGGTAACCCTTTCTATTAGCCATTGCGAGGAGGGAAAAAGGTTCCGTTGGAAACTAGAAATATTTGGAATACATTAATTTATAAAAAGCCAATCCTCTATACACTCACTATAATGTAATTTAAAATCACGAGAAAGGGCCTCCAGATATAAGCATCTTTTTAATCAAACGTTATGAAGGATTTGAAAGGTCTGGATGAAGGAGTCTAGTTGATGAGGGGTAGAATCATCACTGGACAAGTAGCTGTAAAAGAGTTAATTATGTCCCCAGTCTGACCAGTGATGGGTACCCGGGGGCAAGCACCACGGTTATTTACCCCAGACAATCATACAACAAAACTCGAACATGAAAGATGTTGGCATGAAAACACTCCAATGTGCATCCTCTCCGTTGAGTAATTAGGAACTAATTAATTGGATTCGATCGTTTCATTGTCAAATTTGCGACAAATTGATACCTCGATACAATAGAAGTAGCTCTTAGTGATCTCCCCTGCTGAGCGTCTTCATCTTAAAGCCCATGTGGTCAACAAAGAAACCGCCATTAGGGTTAGTCTGCCTTCCCAATGACCAATTGACTCGCGGGCTAATTAGAGGCGCCATCTAGAATTAAGGTCAAAGGTCGTGCAGTGTATCTGTTAGTCGGACTGGAGGGGAATAATGCCCGTAAGCCGCCGTTAATCGCTTTGCTACTCCCGCTACTAACAGATTTTAATTGTTATGAAAAGCATGTTGGGATGGGATTATTGTGTTTAAGACACCATCTCTGAACACACAACAAATAGTTTAACACGTTACCAATAGACGTTTCAATACAGTATAAACAGATTAAAGAATATAACAAAACAACCTTACATTGGTTTAAAACAGGTCGGCATCATTAGATTACTTAACGTGCAATCATCAAGATGTAATTCCCGAGTGAGCTTTGATTCAAACAAACAGATTTGTATGGCTAACCTTTCTTGTTTATCATATACAGGGCCGCCGAGTGACTTTAATCTGCAGGACAATGGAATGGGGTTTAACGTACTACTGTTCTGCTCCGTCTGGGCTAATGAAGACGGGAATACGCCATACAGTGTGCTATGAGGGGAATTTTGCACGGGAATTCCAACTGTCAAGGGATCTTTAACGTGCACGTCAATGTACACAAGGGACGTCGGTTTTTAGTACCATCCGAACGACTAGACAGCTGTTCATGTCAGGTCCTCCGTCTTGCACCACTGACAAGGGGAAATCACGTCGGAAATTCCCTATGAACTTTCTCGCCCAATGCAGGGATCGAACACGCGACCTACAGGCTAGCGAGCCAGCGTATTACCCACTAAGCAACGGTGGTTCCCTTAATGTGCAGGAGCAAACCCCTCCCCCCTCCTTCACCCCCTTCTACGTAAATAAAATCAAATAAATATTTATTCCCCTCCACCGTCTTGGGCTTCACGGGTACTGGATGGGTGTATCGACTGTAGTCCATTTTTCTTGGACCTTATCGTATACAACCCGCAAATGTAAAGCAAAACCGCTAACTACCAAACAAATTAACACCTCCAATGGGTAATAAAAGAAAAACAAAACATCACTTTTGGCGGCAAATTTAAAACAAAGGGAGAGAGATAGAGAGAGAGAGAGAGAGAGAGAGAGAGAGAGAGAGATCGGGTTTAACTTCCACTCGACACAAACTAGGTCATTTCGGGACTAACACATGGTTCAATTTTATTTCAATAATTCGCTTGCGCGTAGGGTTTTAAGAAGTGGAAGGAAACCGAAGGACCCGGGGAAAACCCTTGAGGATAGACAGGCGACGCCACTCCTTGTCACGTACAACCAGGGAATCGAAACCATGCAAGTTGACCTAATGACAGAGCCTATGATACAACGCGCACGCGTTAACCATTCGGCCATCCAACCCCCAACTTCAATGTCACACTTTATTATAATTGGTCCAATGTAGTCTCTTGATAAATGACATGAACTCGGGTTTAACGTCCTAGTTTTCTGCACCAACCGGGCTAATGAAGACCGGTATCATGCAGTATGTAATAAGGGAAATTTTGAAATAACAGCGGCACTACGGCCTACTCTTATTTCGAATTCCAACTGCCAAGGGTTCTGTTACGTGCCCGCCACCGCGGTTTTTCGTCCCATCCTATATTTTATTTCGAATCAAATGACGAATTGACTAAATATTGTGTGACGGTAATATGGTCAGGTTTTTTTTTTATCTCTATGGTTACGTGGGTAATAACTGATAACGAATTTTGCCTGTCAACTTCGAATTCCTACTGCTAAAGGATCCTGACGCGAATTTCCAATGTGAACATGTGATCTTGGGTTTTTGGCACCATGCCGACACCTAGATAAAACTAATATTTTTCACCATTTCCATAAGATAACAAATTTGGGGGTTTTATTTATGGTTATTTTTTCGGGACACCAGGTTGATCTGTATTTTATTACAGTGGGAGAAAGCTGACAATCTTACCCGTCACGTGTCATCTTTGATGGAACTCACTACAGCAGTGGTGACGGATCTAGACAGAGAGAGAGAGAGAGAGAGAGAGATGGGGTTTAACGTCCACTCGACACAAAAAAGGTCATTTCGAGATTACCACATAATTCGATTTTATTTCAATAATTTTATTGCGCGTGGGTTCTAAACAAGGTTAAGGCATTGAAACACCTGAATGTTTCTTCTCAGCTCACACAGATTTAAGTCAACAGCCTTCAGACAGTGACACTTCATTTCTCAATCAAACAACAACCGCCCGAACACAACCATACGCAAACTCAACAACCGCCCGAACACAACCCTACACAAACACACCAACCCACACAATGAGATGAAGATAAAAAGTTATTTCAGGTTTTGGAATTTTTCGTTTTATTATTTATGAGAGTACAAAATTATTGGTTAGTAACAAATTTAAATATTACATAGTAAGAGACAGATTTAAATGTTACATTGTAACAAATTTAAATGTTACATTGTAACAGATTTAATATTACATTGTAACAGATTTAATATTACATTGTAACAAATTTAAATATTACATTGTAAAAGATTGGAATGTTGTAACAGATTTAAATATTACAGTGTAAAAAATTGGAATGTTGTATTTAAGATAAAATAATGTAAACATTCCATGATATCGAATTAGCATGTTGCATAGCAACATATATTGCATTGTAAATATTTAAATTGGAACAATATCAGAGATGCATAGTAAAATTAAATATTGCATTGTCACGTATCGTGATACGCATTGTAATAGATTACAAAATATTACACAATAACAGATTTAGATATAAAAAAAGGTAACAGATTTAAATATGACATTGTAGCAAATTTAAATATGACACTGTAGCAGAATTAAACCTGACAGACATGTGACCTATTTAAACATGACATTGCAACAGATTTAGATATGAAATTGTAACAAATTTAAATAACACGTTGCAACAGATTTAGATATAAAAGAGTAACATATTTAATTATGGTATTGTAACATATTTAAATATGACTGTAACATATTTCTATATTGCATTGTAACAGATTTAAATATTTAAGAATGAAATATTTGATACTCCTATTAGATGTAAATATTACACTGTAACATTTTTAAATAGCAACCGACTTAAATATTGACTTTAAAGAGTAACAAATTGAAATACTGAATGATAATCTGTTTATATAGTAACAGATTTAAACATTGAATGGTAACAAGTGTAAATAAATACTTCATTGAGCTGTATACTGACCCAGATTAAATTTAACGATGTAACGGATTGAATATTTGAATGTAACAGAGCGAAATTCAAATTTTAAATATGGCACAACAGCAAAATAGAATCTTTCACATTAACATATTCGACTATAAGATCGCAACTTAACTCAATTATTTCACAGTAACAGATTGAAATATCGACATTATATTGTAGTAGAACAAACTAGTATTATACATCATATTCGACTATAAGCTTGTATTTTAACCCAATTATTTCACAGTAACAGATTGAAATATCATCAGTATATTGTAGTATAACTAACAAGGAATACAACTCATAAGTTATGACACTATTCATGAGAATTAAATAATACCATAAACGTATTTTAATCAAATTTTAACATCTAAATGTCGTTCAAAACGTTTGCCAGATCATGCAACGATATTTATAAATGTATTTATTGTATAGGAATTAGGTGTGATTTCTTTTTGTTGTTTGTTTTTTAATTAATTTTCGGCACAGATTAGAAATTAATTCGCGAATGACACCCAACGGTTCAAACGTGTACTTTAGGTTATTTCAGTCAACGATCGAGATGATACAATGAATTTTGGAAAATCAAATGAAAAAACTACTTTTTCTGAAACCAGATCATGCGTGAAAAAAAATGCAATTTTGAAAGACCAAATGATAGAAATATAATTTTATCAAAATATTTAAAATATTTTTCTTTATATATAAATATAGCTGCCAAATCATGTTTTTCTTTAAACGCAATGATCTGTTATAAAGTTTCACGGTCAGTTTTTGGATTGATCGACTGATAATGAGAATTCAAATATCATTTCTGTAGCATTAGAATTTAAACCCTTGCCTACTTTTAATAATAAACCTAAAACCTAACAGGTGCAGCCTTCAATGTATATAAGTAAAAATTATTTAGTGCTAATCTCTTTCTTTAAATTTTAGTATTCATCATTTTTAAATTCACTGAATTATACAAGTATATAAATAATATCTTAAACCGAAATACTTATTAATATATTTTCAATATGTTAAGTTATCTTATTCATTCCTTTTTTTATCCATCAAAGTTTACACATTTTTCTCCCTTAATATGTGATGAAAAAGTATCAATACTGGGGGGATATAGGTTATATTTACCCAGGGAATATAGGTCATAACTATCCGGGAATAGGGGTTATAATTATCCGGGGATATATGTTATAACTATCGGGATTACAGGTTATAACTACCCAGGATTACAGGCTATAATTATTCGGTATTACAGGTTATAACTATCCGGGATTATAGGTTATATATATCAGGGAATAGATGTTATAAATATCAGGGAATAGATGTTATAATTTCCACGGAATTTAAGTTATCATTACCGGGGAATATAGGTTATAATTGGCGGTGAATATAGGTTATAATTACCGGTGAATATAGGTTATAATTACCCGGGTATCGGTTATAATTACCGGGGAATATAGGGCTAATAATTACCGGGGAATATAAGTTATAACTATCCGGGATTACAGGTTATAATTACCCAAGAATATAGGGCTAATAATTATCCAGTAAATAGCAGCGAAGAACAACGCCCTTTAAGGCAAAATTTTTTTATGACAAATAATTCATTTATATCTAAATTATACGAAAACTATTACATGTCTCGCGAAAATACAAAGGTATAACGGATAAATTTAAATCTTTACTTATTGTATGATTATTTTTCAGAAATAAATTTACGATCAGAGATTCCACAGAAAATGGACAAATATTTTTATTATATATATACATTGTTACCCCCTGAAATCATTGATATAACACACGTCTATTTTTCAGTTTCCCTTTGTTTTTTGATTTTCTGTTTTTTGTTTTTTTCAAAATTCTATATATCTATATTATGCGAAACAATAAATAAATAAATATTTCATTTACTCGTAGGGTTTATGGAAATAAATGTAATAGCACTATTCGAGTTGTCTCCCTTCACATCACCTCGATCTAATCGAACCCGTTGATGAAACGGAAACGATCGCTCAGACTGGAGATATCTGGGAAACTGGTTTTTAAATTCTTAGAAAAAACTCGGCATTCTTCAAGACATTTGTCATATTGGCCACGAGTACAATATATACCGTCAGGAAAGAAATCTCCGTCCAGTACACCAATATGTTCTATGGCGACCTTCCACATACAGAGAGCTACAAGTGAAGGTCTGAACTGACACAGGTCATAATCCTGCAGGGAAAGTTCTAAAATACACCGACTAAATGCTCTTGCCTCCCTGAAAAATAATAAAATATATTAAAATTAATATAAATCAAATGAAATGACAAAGGGTTTTAACCTTAAAAGGGGTTTAAGGTGCACGTAAAAGGGGTTTAAGTGACGTGCAGAAAAGTGTGAATTATGTTCTTAAAACCGAAACATTAAGTCATCTAATTTTATTGCACATCGTTTATATGTTTGAAAAGCTCTACAAATAAACATCGTTCAAACACTTACCTTAATTTGTCGTTTTCAAATCCATAGGCCTGTGATAAACAGAGGGTGGCAAAATGTTCTAGAAAATATTGAGATGTCGGAATAAATAGATCGAAACCTATAGCCATTAATACATGTCTCTCCAGGGTCTTCAATTCTTCACGACTATAATTCACTGTAGATACCTCAAATAATTCCTGGATTTCTGGCGGTGTAACTTCTTCCTGATCATAAAAAAATATACAAATCAAGTGGTTTAGAAACGCGACGAGGCACCTTAACAACTACATGTGACATCCCGGGCTTCAGAAGCACAGCTATAAATGAAATGAAATTTAACGTCCCACTGTTCTGCTCCTTTTCTGGGCTAATGAAGACGGGCATACGCCATACAGTGTACTATGAGGGACATTTTGCCCGGGCAGCGGCACTAAGGCCTACTCTTATATCGAATTCCAACTGCCAAGGGATCTTTTACGTGCACGCCAATATATACATGGGGCCTCGGTTTTTCGTCCCATCCGAAAGACTAGACAGCTGTTCTTGTCAGGCTAGAATGGATACACTCATATTTTGTATCAAAGATAGAGAGAGAGAAAAATTGGGTTTAACGTCCACTCGACACAAACTAGGTCATTTCAGGACTAACACATGGTTCAATTTTATTTCAATAATTCGCTTGCGCGTAGGGGTCTTTAGCAGTGGGAGGACACGGAGAAAACCCACGAGGTTGACTCAATGATACAGCGCAGCGCGCTCGTGCTAACCATTCGGCCAACCAACCCCCCATCAAAGATAGAAAAACAAAGTTCAAGTATGGGGATGAAATTGGGTTCAATGTAGCTCCACCTTTAACGTGCTTTTCATGGGCAGGTTCTCCACCCTGTAGTACTGACTACAGGAAACTACATGTAGACTAGAACATCCAGAGGAACTTTCCCGGGACTTTGTACATGTAGTTAGTGAACAAACTAGAATCTAAAAGATTGACAATACCTGTTTAAATACGGCCAGTGTAATATAATACCTGTTTAAATACGACCAGTATACTATGATACCTGTTACATGCGACCAGTATAATATAATACCCTTTTATATAGACCAGTATAATATAATACCTGCCAAATGCGGTCAGTATAATATCATACCTGTCAAATACGACCAATGTAATATAATATCTGTTAAATGCGACCAGTATAATATAATACCCTTTTATATAGATCAGTATAATATAATACCTGTCAAATGCGATCAGTATAATATAATACCTGTCAAATGCGATCAGTGTAATATAACACCTGTTTAAATGCGACCAATGTAATATAATGCCTGTTTAAATGCGACCAATATAATATAATACACGTTTAAATGCGACCAGTGTATTATAATACCTGTTTAAATGCGACCAGTATAACACCTGTTTAGATGCGACCAATGTAATATAATACCTGTTGAAATGTGACCAGTATAATATAATACCTGTTTAGATGCGACCAGTAAACAAGTTAATCCCAGTAATTGTAATCCATCAGCTGACAATCGTTTACAGGCGAGTATCCGATCTATTATATTGACTGTTAGAAATAACGTATCTTGATTTAAAGCCAGTTGATGATGTATTTTACTAATCCAATTTACTAGTAAACCTCTCATACCTGGGGTCACCTAAAATACAAACCAAATAGGGTTTAACGATGAACATGGTCCCGCAGATTAACGAATGTTTTAGCTCGAACAATACACTACCGTCCAATGACGTACATATTAACATACGTCACTGCTACCTCCACATACAATCACGTGATTTCAAAACGGCATACATCTCACGTGACATTCAATTGTATGTGATCGCTGATTGGTGCTGCGCAGATAAAATATGTTCGCGAATGTCGGAAATGAAATGGGGTTTAACGTCCTACTGTTTTTCCTCCGAACTGGGCTAATGGAGACGGACATACGCCATACAGTGTGCTATGAGGGAAATTTTGGCCTACCCTTATATCGAATTCCAACTGCCAAGGGATCTTTTACGTGCACGCCAATGAGTACACGGGACCTTGGTTTTTCGTCCCATCCGAACGACTAGGCATACGACCCAAAGTTTGATTTCACGAACATTTTGTCGAAAAAGATTTGTTCGTCTTTTTCTTTTTAACCCGCAGACGGTGAACAAATTGATCTGAACAATATTTTCATGGATGTTCGGCGTTTGACGAAAGAGAGAGAGAGAGAGAGAGAGAGAGAGAGAGTTTACCTCTGATTGCATGGCGAGACATCGATGTGGATGAAAACGTCTCTCCGCGCTCAGTCTGTGTTTATAAATATTATCAATATATTCTTCGAATCCTGTATTCTGTCCATCGGCGATATTCTCGGCGCTGCTGTGGCCATATGGACTGTATACAGCTAGTTTCTGGGCTCTCCATTCAACGACACTTTCAAAACACTCTAAATTCGGTTCCCCGTATCCCGAATCATGGGAGGTTGATAGAGTTATCTCCCCTATCTGAGGTGTTGTAAATTCCTGTAAGTGTGAAAATCATACAATATCATTTACTTTATTAAAAATGAATTACGTAACAATCTTTGTTAAGAAACCGAAACGCTGTTTATTTTTATAAAACAGATAAACCACATTTTATTGTATCATTATTTCGGGGAGAAATCTATGCATCTACTTTTCATTCGAAACTGGCCATATCCAAACTCCATTGATCCATATCTCAACCCTCTTCTCCCGCAATCTTTCCTGCTCGATATTAAGATGCAATTATTTCTGTTGAATTGATTGCGCTGACTATTTACGACATTCTACAAATCTTACATCTTTTCTAATAATTGATTCACCGAAAACATTTGAAAATTTACTAGGAAATGCCCCCCACACCCGTCAACCGTTTCTTTAAAATCCTCGCAGTTGGCCGCCCTGCCATCTACAACTAAGGCATTCGACAACCGTAGGGTTGGGGTATTTTGGCGTGAATTTTAAGTGGTGGACTGGACTGGGAAGATCTGGGCCCTCGGACCATCGGGTTTAATTGAACCCTCATCATAGTAAGGAATACAACCCACCCACAGATCGGATTCAGGCCTTTATATTTTTGCAGTGGATGCGACGATGAATTTTATTTATTTTGTAAAAAAATATATATCAATTTATTATTTCCAATCGGGGCCGATTTGCCCGCCCCGTCCCTCGCCCACACCTCGGAGCCATCGGACCCCGTCCCCTCGCCCACACCAAGACTCAGTGCGGCCGTGACCATCCGAACGTCTGGGAAAGTATTTAGTCTGATCGATGGAGTGGGGAGGCCGGGTTGCTGGGAGCGAGATGGGGCCGTACATTGCGATCGCGTTTTAGGGAATCTTTCAAAAATCTAGGGATAGGGACTAACTTAGGGTTAGTATGCAGTCCCATGGCCAAGTTGGGCGGGCTGCTGGGAGCGGGATGGGTACGTATTTAGTCAGATCGGAGGCGCGGTGAGGCCGGGTTGCTGGGAACGGGATGGGGGCCGTACATTGCGATTGCGTTTTCGAGAATCTTTCAATAATCTAGAGTTAGGGTTAGTATGCTGGGGACGGGATGCTGGGAGCGGGATGGGAGCGGGATGGGAGCGTACAATAATCTAGATTTTTTTACTTACCTCTTCCGTACAGCAGTGATAGATTTCACCCTGGGGTCCGAGATAGATATAGGGGGGAAGGATGACGGTCTCCTCACCCCCAGTAATATACAGAGGACAGGTCAGTGACATCAGACGTGTAATAATATAGTTGAAGCTGAAGATTTAATTGTCTTCTAGTAGTTGATTTCTTTCATCACAGCCATTACATATTACTTGAATGTTTACTCTTTTAAACCCAACCACGTGGCCTGCTCGTGAGCTTATATCATACACCGGGTGTGTCGTCTGCTAATATAGAAATACCTTCACAACAACGGTTCACCATTTCAACATGCTCGCATCAGTTCCGATTGTCTAACAGGTGAAAAACATCACAAAATTTACTAAATATCGTTTTTTATTACCAATTTTTACGTTTTGTCATGAATGAAAAGCTAGTATACCTCCCTATTCCTATAGTCGACTCATCTGATGCACGTGCATGTATGTACAAGACGATGATGAGTTGATGTGTTGTGTCATCAAGCCGCCGACAACAGTGACTGCCCTGTGATTTATAAAACTTGGGACCAAAATACAACTCACGTGATTTAACTCCATGTCGTCATGTAGCTTTTTACCTCTAAAACTGGAAACCCCTTTCTCTGATTGTTACTATTATTGGCCTGAAGTTACCTTAAACGGAACACGCCTCGACTGTTTTTATTCTTGGTGAATTTTGCCCCGGCGGAATAAACATTTTTTGCACAAAATGTATCTATTTCCATAATTTATGTTTTGTTCATTTGGAACCACGATGGCTAAGGGCGAAGTGGGTAAGACGCTGACTCGCTAGCCTGCATGCAGGTCGCGTGTTCGATCCCTGCAATGGCCAAGAAAGTTCATCCAGATTTTCCGACGTGGTTTCCCCTTGTCAGTGGTGCCTGACAAGGACAGGTGACTAGTCGTTTGGATGGGATGAAAAGCCGAGGATGCGTGTATACATTGGCGTGCACGTAAAAGACCCCTTGGCAGTTGTCTAGTCGATCGGATAGGACGGAAAACCGAGGTCCCGTGTTTACATTGGCGTGCACGTAAAAGATCCCTTGGCAATTGGAATTCGATATAAAAGTGACCATAGTGCAAAATTTTCCTCATAGCACACTGTATGGCGTATGCCCGTCGGAGCAGCACCGTAGGACGTTAAACCCCATTTCATTTCATTTGTTTTGTTCATTTACAGATTACTGTAATTTCATCGGGTAATCTATAACCATAGAGGCCACACCGATTATTATCACCATAAAAATTGGTGAAGATATACGGTTTGAGACAACCATTTGATGAAGGGGTTTGGGTAACCGAATGGTTTAAATGGTTTATCATAAAGAGGGAGAGAGAGAGAGAGAGAGATGGGGTTTAACGTCCACTCGACACAACGTCATTTCGGGACTAACACATGGTTCAATTTTATTTCAACAATTCGCTTGCGCGTAGGGGTCTTTAGCAGTGGGAGATAAACCGGAGGACCCGGAGAAAACCCACGAGGTTGGACAGGCGATCCTACTCCTTGCCACGTACAACCTGGGAATCGAAACCACGTCAGTTGACTCAATGACACACCTTATGATACAACACGCACGTGCTAACCATTTGGCGCACGTGCCAACCCCTGTCTGGCCTACTGAACTGCCAAAGGATCTTTTACGTTCACGCCATAGGGTACACCGGATCTCGGGTTTTCGTCCCATCTAAACGACTAGTCAGTTGTCCCTGTAAGGTCCTCCGTCCTGCACCACTGACAAGGGGGCGGGGGGTTGGATGACTGAATGGTTAGCGTGCGCGCGCTGTATGATAAAGTCTGTCATTGAGTCGACTGGCGTGGTTTCGAATCCCCGGTTGTACGTGACAAGGAGTAGGGTCGCCTGTCCAACCTCGTGGGTTTTCTCCGGGTCCTCCGGTTTCCTCCCACTGCTAAAGACCCCTACGCGCAAGCGAATTATTGAAATAAAATTAAACCATATGTTAGTCCCGAAATGACCTAGTTTGTGTCGAGTGGACGTTAAACCCCATTTCTCTCTCTCTCTCTCACTGACAAGGGGAAACCACGGCGGAAAAAGTCGATGAACTTTCTCGGCCAACACCGGGATCGAACCGGCGACCTCCGTGCCAGCAAGCCAGCGTCTTACTGACTGAGCTCCCATATGATAAGGAATGTGACTTGAGTCAAGTGGGGTGGTTTCGATTCCCCGGTTGTACGTGACAAGGAGTAGGGTCGCCTGTCTAACCTCGTGGGTTTTCTCTGGGTCCTCGGGTTTCCTCCCACTGCTAAAAATCTCTACTCTCAAGCCAATTACTGAAATAAAATTGAACCATATGTTAGTCCCAAAATGACCTAGTTTGTGTCGAGTGGACGTTAAACCCCATATCTCTCTATCAGGCACCGGTTAACATCCACTAAACCACCGCGAGTCCCATGATAGACGTGGTTCCATGTCAGCAATGACAAGTCGTCTATCATAGAGAAACACTGGTGGAAAACCCACGCCGGCCAATAATGGGATGAAAACCAGGGACCTCCTGGCGAGTGAGAGGCAACGTGACTCCGAAACATTATATCACGTCTGTTATAACGTTCAAGTGGTTTCAATCTTCAAACAGAACACATCAGCCCTAAACGTCTGCCCCCTTGTTGAATTACCAAACCTCAAAGACTCGAATCGACTACAAGAATTTTAAAAGAATAAACAAAGGTTGTTTCCAACCATTGTTAATACAAGTAACTGGCGAACAGGGGGCCAATTGATAGCACATGCCTGACAATAAATCGCAAGAGACATTCCGTCGAGGTTCTCTGTCCTCAAGCTGATACAAACACGTTTTCAGGCTTACTGGTATTTTCATAATCTGACGCACTAAGCGGGTCAAGATTATTTTTTCCCGGGGTGGAGGGGGGGAGAGACAGAGAGAGAGAGAGAGAGAAAGAAAGAGAGAGTGGTGCTACTCTGTATAGCTTTTGTCGCATTATTATAAAATAAATTAACACAATATGTCATTTTGAGACTAACACATGGTATAGTTTGCACGTAGGTACATCTGGCTGTCTTAGGAAACTGGTGAACCCTACAAGGTTAGTCAGGCGACTAGCCATGAGTATGGGGAGGGGGGGGGGTGGACCTCTTTTGATCTAAATTTGTCCATTGTGGGTTTCTCTTGTCATTGGTGCCGGGCGGAAGGTGTTGCAAGGTCAGTGTTTAGTCGTTCGGATGGGTCGAAAGCCCGGGGGCCACCGTACTCGTTGGCGTGCGATTAATAGAACCATGGGCAGTAGTTGGAATTCGATGTAAGAGTAGGCCGTAGCGCCGCTGTCCGAGAAAACTTTTCCTTATAGTACACTGTATGGCGTATGACGGTCTTCATTAGCCCAGTCGCTGCCGAACAGTAGGACGTTAAACCCCATTTCATGTCATTAGCCCAGTCGGAGCAGAACAGTAGGACGTTAAGCCCCATTCCATTTCATTTCATTTCTACTTCTAAATCCAGCATTGTTACAAGTTACGGGGGATTCGATGGCAGAATGGTTATCGCGTGCGCGTTATATCATAAGGTCTGTCATTGTTTTCGATTCCCCTGATTGCACGTGACAAGGAGTAGGGTCGTCTGTCCTCCTGTTTCCTCCCACTGCTAAAGATCCCTACGCGCAAGCGAAATGACCTAGTTTGTGTCCAATGGACGGTAAACCCCGCTTCTATCTCTCTCTCTCTCGTTACAAGTTATAAAATTCGAACCCTGGTGGCATGTCACTTTAAACACATCGGTTTCCGATTAAATCCCCAACAGATCAAGACTCGATTGTCACAAATCAAAATTCAAGAGGAAATGTGTAGTAATGTGACGTATGTTTACCGTAGAAGTGTGGAATCAGTTTCAGTAAAACTTTTAAGACCTATTCGACAGGCAACTTGTCGTATTGCAGCGTCTCTGGTCCTTGGGTTGTTCGTTAGCTTCTGGTTTTCGTCATTCAGACGACATTTTTGCAGAGTCAAGTTCCTGGTTCCACGATGACGTGTAGGTGATTGCCTCGGATAATTAAGCAGTGACGTCATCATTTAAGTTTTTAGACGTGTAAAAAGTTGTAATTATTTACAAGCAGTTCTGGATTTCAAAAAGTTGTAATCCTTTTCAAGAAGTGTCTGATTTCAAAATGATAAGTGTTCAGACATATTAACATTATTAAGGAGATATAGTAAACATTAATTGTTTAAAGTTATTTATAATTATATTGGAATTATAGATGAGAGACAATGACGCGTCAGTTATTATCCGTCGTTATTCCTGTTATTGTGATATTAGTATTGTTTAATGTTTGCTCAGCTCAAAGAACTCGAGCTCCCAGAGGACAACAAGGTAAATCTGTTTTATTACTACGTTTATAAAATTAAATGAAATGAAATGGGGTTTGATGTCCTACTGTTCTGCTCCGGACTGGGCTAATGAAGACGGACATACGCCATACAGTGTGCTATGAGGGAAATTGTGCCCGGGCAGCGGCGCTACGGTCTACTCATATATCGAATTCCAACTGCCAAGGGATCTTTTACGTGCACGCCAATCTGTACATGGGACCTCGGTTTTTTGTCCCAGCTGAACGACTAGCCAGCTGTTCTTGTCAGGCCCTACGTCCTGCATCACTGACAAGGGGAAACCACGCCGGAAAATCCTCATGAACTTTCTCGGCCAATGCAGGGAATGAACACCCGACCTCCAGGCTAGCGAGCCAGCGTCTTACCCACTTAGCCACCGCAGTTACACGTTTATTCCGTGGCTTATAGAGCCGCCGTTGCTCAGTGAATAAAACGTTGGTCCGCTAACTTGGGGGATCTTGTGTTCGATCCCGGTGTTGGCCGTGAAAGTTCATTGTAATTTTCTGGTGCGCTTCACCCTTGTCAGTGGTGCAGGGCCGAGGGCCTGACATTGAACAGTGTCTTGTCGTTCGAATGGTACGAAAAACATAAGCCCCATGAACACGTTGGCGTGCACGTAAAAGATCCCTTGCCAGATGGAATCTGAAGTATGGGTAGACCAGGCAAACGTTCCCTCATAACATACTGTATGGCGTATTCCCGTCTTCATTAGCCCAGTCGGAGCAGAACGGTAGGAATTTAAACCCCATTTCATTTCATTTTCGTGGCTTAGTGTGGGATGTCAGCGCCCTGGGCAACGCAAGACTTAGTATTGTGTCCTTGAGCCCGAGAATTGCTAGCACAGAAAAAATGTTACGTTGTCCCATTTTGCAGCAAAACTGTAGAATCTTCGGGATTTTGCATGTGGGAGGAGGACGGACGCACTTTCTTTTTTTTTATTGCTATAGCTTTTCTTTTCTTTTGAAAATTTCCGCCCAGGGCAACCGAACCGCCCAGATTACGAAACTGTGATGGTTTGAAACATATTCTCGACTTAATTTTTAGAGGTGAAGAGTGTTCCTCATCTCCTTCCTCAAACTTTGTATTGAAGAAATCGTCTTCCACAGATTGAAATAACGATCTGTGGAGGGGGTGGATGGCCGAATGGTTAGCACGTGCGTGTTGTATCATAAGGTCTGTCATTGAGTCAACTGGTGTGATTTCTATTCTTCGGTTGTACGTGACAAGGAGTAGGGTCGCCTGTCCAACCTCGTGGGTTTTCTTCAGATGCTCCGGTTTCCTCCCACTGCTAAGGACCCTTACGCGCAAGCGAATTATTGAAATGAAATTGAACCATATGTTAGTCCCGGAATGACCTAGTTTGTGTCTCGTTTCCGCATTGATAAAATTATATAACGATTTTATTTATAAATCTTTAAAACACAGGATAGAACTACATTATAAGATTGGGGCGTTGCCATGTGACCTAAAAGCTCCCCATATCACGTTAACACACTCCAACTGATTCTAATCGAATTCAGGGGGAAATGAAGAAACAATGTCCACATATTAGTCTAGGAAATTGTCGATCTCAGACCAAACGATAAAAATTTCCATTAAAGTTGACTCTAACTGTGGGAGGTCGTGGGGTTACCAAGATCAAAACCTAACACTAATAGGAAATTAGGTGCAGACTTTGGAGCTGCGGTCAGAAATAATATTATATATATATATAGCTTTACAAATTCATAACAGACGATTTAGGAGTACAGTAATGGCAATCGTAGCTGATTTGATTGAAAGGTTTTAAGGTCGTTACAGAATAAAAAGAGAGAGGGAGAGGAATGGGGTTTAGCGTCCACTCGATACAAACTAGGTCATTTTGGAACTAACATATGGTTCAATATTATATCAATAATTCATTTGCCGTAAGGGTCTTTAGCAGTGAGATGAAACCGGACAACCCGGTGAAAACACACAAGGTTGGACAGGCGATCCTACTCCTTGTCACGTACAAACTAGGGAATTGAAACCACGCTACTTGACTCAGTGGTAGAACTTATGATCCTTGTCACGTGTCACGTGTCCCCCCCCCCCCCCATGGATGAACCTAGAGGTTAGTGAAGTGAAGTGGAACGGAATGAGACTACTTCCATGGGATAACGAGGATGAGATGAACAATTGAACACTGACTTCAGACCATATGAAATAAAACATGGAAATTAATGGGAGCGAATTTCAGCTGAAATGGGCTCAATTCCAAAATTTCTCCTCTGTCCAGATTCAGGCGCTCGATGGTGCTCAAGTGCCTAAAAGCTTTCCTGTGGTTTACCATTCTTACAAAGAATTGGTGGTGTTTACCTGTAAGGTAGAATAACTGGAGAGAAGGGAGGCGGGGTTGAGGGAGAGTGAGAGAAGGGGGCGAGGGCGAGAGAGAGTGAGAGTAGGCGGCGGGGGCGAGAGAGTGAGAAGGGGCGGGGGCGAGAGAGAGTGAGAGTAGGCGGCGGGGGCGAGAGAGAGTGAGAGTAGGCGGCGGGGGCGAGAGAGTGAGAAGGGGGCGGGGGCAAGAGAGCGAGAGATGGTAACGGGGCGAGAGAGTGAGAGAATGGGGCGGGAGCGAGAGTGAGAGATAGGGGTGTGGGCGAGAGAGTAAGAGTGAGGGATGGGACAGGAGCGAGAGAGCGAGAGAAGGGGGCTGGGCGAGAGAGCGGGGAGAAAGAGAGGTAGATAGAAGGGTGTTTGAGTGGGGGACAGAGACATAGAGACAGAGTGACAGAGACAGTGATGAGTATAGAATGACAGAAAGGCGAGCTAGAGGGAGGGGGTGACGTCCTCACAACACTGAGGACGGTAAAAACAGATATAGAGGTGGCAGAGAGGGGTGGGGGTGTATGTCCACACTAACTAGGTCATTTTAGTAGGCGATTCCTTTTAAGGGCATAATGTTTACTTATCGATTGTTGTCATATTTTATTCTTTTTTTTCAGTAACAAATGTTGCCGATGCGTTTGCTAGATATAATGAAGTATTTTTAGCTGGTGAAATGAGTACAGCTCAGAGTGCTAGACGACGATTTGTTTTAGTTCGAGCCACCAGCAACAGACTCAACACGGTGTTTGAAATATCTGTAGACTTCAGACAACCACAGGGTATGTATATAGCTAGTTCGCTGGCACTGACATGACCAATAGATTCATGTAACCTGCTCATATGTCACAGCTTGAAAACTTTAACATTTAAACATCACTTGGATCAGGGTGTCTTAACTCTTAGAATATGAGCTGACCAATGTTTCAAATTAAAACATCCTGATTTTGGTGGGAGTCACGGTGTCTCAGTGAGTAACTACCCATCACTTGTTAACCGAGAAATATCCGGATGTTTTTTTTTCTTCCATCGTTGTTTCCCCTTATAGGTGGGACAGGGGACAGGACGGGTGGCTTAACAAGGAACAGTGTCTAGTCGTTTGGATAGGACGAAAAAAACGAAGTTACGTTCACATAAAAAAAAAGTGACATTTTATTTTGTTTTATTTTATTTCTTTTTTTTTTTCGTGAGAGAGCGGATTTCTTTTTATTTATTTTTTATTTTTTTTGGTGAGAGAGGGGATTTGTTTATATATATTTTTTTTAATTATTTTTCATTTGTTTTTATATATTTTTTATTATTATTTTTCTTTTTTTTTATATATTTTTTTTATTTTTTTTCATTTGTTTTTATATATTTTATTTGTTTTTATATTTTATTTATAATTTCAGTTGTTTTACGATTACGAACACAAGACAGTAGAGAATATCAACTAACGTTTCCAACTAGATCGTTACATCAGGGTACGACCAAAAGATTCCTGTTACACTTCCATGATCTCGAGATGCCCTCTAATTCCGTCCGGCTGTTTGTCGACTGTGAAGGGTTGGGGTTAGATAAAACAGAAATTCCCATTAGAAGATTACTACAAGGCAATGTTACAGTGGTAAGTTACTTTTTATAACGCGAGAACAACTGGGTGTTGAAATGGGATTCGCCCATTCGGTATTAAGTCCCGGGGTTGGCCGAAAACGTTCGTCGCACTTTTTCGGCGTTGTTTCCCACTTGTCACTGGTACAGAACAAGGTACGGTGTCTACACTACATGGCGTATGTCGGCCTTCATTAGTTTATTGGTGTACATGTAATGGAAGTTACACCACAACCCTAGACAGTTTTTGACGTTACGTATACAATGTAATGGAAGTTGCACCTCGACCCTAGACAGTTTTTGACGTTACGTATACATCGTAATCGAAGTTACATCACGACCCTAGACAGGTTTGACGTTACGTATACAGCGTAATCAAAGTTACGCTATGACGCTAGACAGTTTTGACTTTACGTATACAACGTAATCGAAGTTACACTATGACCCTAGACAGTTTTGACGGTATGTACACAACGTTATCGAAGTTACACCACGACCTTAGACAGTTTTTGACGTTGCGTACACAACGTTGTCGGAGTTACTCCACGACCCTGGACACTTTTGACGTCACGTATACAAAGTTATCGGAGTTTAAGCATAACTCGGGTCACTTTACACATGAAGTAAAGTAATATAACCGTTACAACATGACCTTTAGAAGCAAAACAGGGGAAGTAAATAAAAATATAGTAATCGAAGTTACACCATAAATAACGTAATGTATATAGGACGCAGGTGTATAAAACCCAGTCATGTTTTATTTACTTTAAATAAAGAAATACAAGTACGCACATAACTCTATATTGTGTTGTGTATGGTTTAAATTTAAAACTAAACTTTACACACGTGTTTCATATAACACGTGACTTGATATTTTAATCAAAATCACTCTGTATATGCATATTCTTGGTGCAGTGTGTTTTTTGTAAATCTGTTATTTTTGTGTTTCTAGAGAAATATGATATTCTTGTTAAAAGGGTTCAATGGTCTCTTACTGAACTTCAGTTGCCATGGTATTTTATCAATCCTTAAATAATAATGGCGTCTATATATTTGTGTTTATCACCCAATAACACATTCTACAGTAGATATGGCTTGTGTAATAAATTTCATAATCTACTACGATATCTCCTTAGCAGATATTGCTTTACATTAATTTGATTGATCAATTAAAAAAGGAACTACATTTTTATTTTCAAAGAACAATTCATATTTTATTAAAAGTTACTTCTTTTTTTATTAAAAATGAACAATTTTTATATAATTGACCTTGATGGAAACACTGAGTCAATATAAAGGACTTTGCAATAGTTGAATTGCTGTCAAAAAATAATGTATCGCTACCCGTTTAACACGGGCTATTTACATAATAAGATCTACCTTTGAGTAAAGTGGCCCTGTTTCGATTCTTTGCTTGTACATGTACGTGATAGGTAGTTGGGTCACCTGTCCAATCTCGTGGGTTTACTCCGGGGCCTTTGATTTCCTCCCGCTACTAAGGAAATCTAGGAGGAAGCGAATTAGATTGTGTCGAGTGGAAGTTTAACACCATTTTTCTCTTTGATATTGATATCCCAATCTGATTAGAATACAGATTTATATTTCGTTTCGTTTTTTTTATACTTTCAATGGCCAACACTACAAGAAGATCTGACCGGGTGTAGCGATAGGTCGCATCAGAGGACATACGAGCAACTTTTGACCCTATAACGTCATATAATTGATTAACCAATCAGCGTTGATGGTTCTAGTAGGATATCCACTGTTCCGTGCATCGCACGCCAAGAACTCGCTGCAACAGACCGTTTCATTGGCCAATCCCTCACATCACCCAGAACGCAGGTTATATAACAACTCTTCCAGATCCTAGTATAGTAAAGACAAGTAAAACGAAATTTTGAACTATTAAAAACGAAACGAAATAGGATCTGTGTTTAAATCAGATTGATCTATATGCTATATATTTTTATAGAGAAAACATCCAGATTTTCAATTCTACACGAGCTCATCTTTAGAGGCACAACTGAGGGCCCAGAGATGTGGACGAGAATCGTACCGGGTTACCACAACCACGGAAGCACCAAAACTAGAAATACCCGCCTGGGCATCAGAGAGATATTCACCCCAGAGAAGTATACCGGATATAAGTGGTCAACCTCGTCCTACTGCCCGACCCAGGATTTCTATAGTTAATGAGGATACAACTGGAACTATCAATGGACAAGGTATGAAATAAAACTATATTTAAAGCCGAGATCATGTTGAGACTAACATATATTGATGTTCAAAGCGACAGAAGCGAGAATTGTAGTCGTGCAGCGACGTGTCCACCTATCCCTCTTCGAATTTCCTTTGTCAATGGGTCTTTTACCTGCGCGTCAATGTGCATACGGATAAACATCGAGTTTACGTCCAATATGATCGACTGGGTAACAAATTAAGCGTGCACGTAAAAGAACCATTGTCAGTTGGCATTCAAATAAAGAGTGGACGGTAAGACCACTTTCCAGGCACGGCACTAACCTCATAGCACACTGTATGGCATATTCCCGTCTTCATTAGCCCAGTGGGCGCAGAACAGTAGGACGTTAAACCTCATTTCATTCCGTTTTATTTCACCATATTAAGACTCTGGCTATCGCATTATTGTATGGTCGAGATTGAGCACCATGCCAACAGCTTCATGACAATAAGTCGGTGTACTTCCGGTCTGGAGCCAATTAAATGTCGAGTTTGTCCTCGACCCTAATAGATAGAGAACCAATCAGAATTCTAAGATGAATAACGTTTATCCATTGAAAAACTATTTCCTTGAAATATTTTATTGTTCGTGAATCCAAACGGATTATATAATCTTGTATTAATTGTTTCAGATCCGTATTTAAAAATGATTGAAGCGGTCAACGCATTAACGGGGACCGTGAGAGAACTAAAACAGCATATGACGTCACAGGTACAAGAGACGAAAGCATTACGAGAGGCTATTGCTAATTGTGCTATGTGTAGAGGTTCGTATTCTTCATATATACAGTAGAATCTGTATTAAGCAGCCACTGACGGGAGATTTCATGTCTGACCGCTTAACGGGAGTGACCTCTTAATAAAAGAGAGAGAGAGAGAGAGAGAGAGCGGGGGAGGATAACTTCTACTCGACACCAATTAGGACATTTCGGGACTAACATATGGTTCAATTTTATGTCAATAATTCGCTTTATATGGGTCTTTAGCATTGGGAGGAAACCGGAGGAAATCGGAGGACCCGGAGAAAACCCACGAGGTTGGACAGGCAACCCTACTCCTTGTCACGTACAACCGGGGAATCGAAACCAAGCCAGTTGACCCAATGACAGCACGCGCTAACCATTCGTTTATCCAATCCCTCAGACCCCAAGAAAACCATTTACTCCGATGCCCCGGAGCTATCAAGTCCGCCCATTTGTTTATGCAGATTGTGTCGATAAAACATACTAGCATGTTGTTTGACAGTATAGATTACAGCGATATATATCACTGTCAGTTGTTCGTCTGGTTAACTAGCAACCACCCTAGAGACCCACATGTCGTCTTGGTAACATGATGACCTTCTAAATGTGACATACGTACTTTCTCTATTAACTGCATGTGTTGCTAAAGAACTACAAAAACAAAACACAAACATCTTGAAATAACAGTTCCATTTTATTTCTGGTTTTAAGAATTGTAAAAATGGCGATGTGTAATGTTATATGTTTGTTTAGGTGACCGACCCAACATACGTCGCTGTTCGTCGAACCCATGTTTTCAGGGGGTGAGATGCATTGACACGGAGGAAGGCTTCCGGTGTGGTTCCTGTCCACGTGGTTACCATGGTGACGGTGTGACATGTAACCGCTATACCACCTGTAGTGATAGACCCTGTTATCCAGGTAAGATTTACTGTATCAATATGTCTCTATACCAAATAATACTTGTTCGAAGAGTGTTTCTGTATGCAAAACATGGATGACCATTTCTCGGAAACCCGGTACATTTTGGGGGCATGGAATCAAATAAAGGTACATGTTCGAGATGTTAAGCAGGGGGGGTCCATGGTGAAAACAACGTCAAGTTTGCAGGGATCGAACTCGCGAGTCCCACACTAGCGAGCCAGTGTCTTACCCACTTAGCCACCGTGGCTCCCACGTTATTTCGATGAATGAACGCGCCTGGAATGGAGTTTAGTGCTTCTTCAAAACAACACCGCGTTCATCTTGCAGAATGAAAGAACAAATTAGTTGTTACGACCCTTGTCCCAGTTAGCATTGGGAAACTCATTAAACAGAACACAATTTTTATTGGTAACAATCACTAGTTTTATTCTCAAAACACGACGTTTCGACAAGTATAGTCAGTCTGATTAAAAGACAGATCCTATTTCGTTTCGTTTTTTATAGTTCAAAATTTCGTTTTACTTGTCTTTACTACACTAGGATCAATCTGTTTCACAGAGTATTATGAAAGTCTTCTAATATCTCTGTAAAAGATGACTGCCTTCAACACATGACGTCATATCACGCGGCGTCAATCATTGGCTCAATGGCTCGTGCATTGTTTTCATAAGACGTTACTGATTCGAGCAGAATGGCGCCTTTTACTCATTTTAATACCCATTTACACTAAGACAGGAAATATTTTTACCTACAAATACTTCAAACGTCTTATTTATTTTTATACGCCCAAATTTTCATGTTTTAGAATTTAATTTGTCGGAGGCAAAAACTTAATATTTGGGGCTCATTAAGTTGCATCGGTGTCATCCTTATCAGTGATTGTCGCGGCCTCGCGAATATTCACTGCGGACCAGTGTCCACTAGGATCTGGAAGAGTTGTTATATAACCTGCGTTCTGAATGATTAGCCAATGGGGGATTAGCCAATGAAACGGTCTGTTCTGACAAGTTCTTTGGTGTGAGGTGCACGGAACTGTGGGTAACCCACTAGAAACATCAACCCTGATTGGTTAATTAAATGCCTGACCTTCCACTACAACTGGTCAGATCTTCATGTAGTGTAGGCCATCGAAAGTATAAAAAAACGAAACGAAATATAAATCTGTATTTTAATAAGATTGCTCTTATCGTTTGGAGGAACAATTACTAAGTTTACACGTCCGTCCGTTCCTAGAGTTTTACGTCCACTTCCATCATGAGTGATATCGTCGACAGGAAGTTTAAATGTATAAAACCTGTATTTATAGGTGTTCGATGTGTTGATACTGGAAGAGGTTTCCGGTGTGGCGCGTGTCCAGCCGGATTTACTGGTGACGGTACTAGAGGGGGGTGTACACCTTTTAGACAAACCTGTACATCAAGACCCTGTTTCCCGGGAGTTCGATGTGAGGATGTTCCTGAAGGATTCCGCTGTGGTCCCTGTCCAACCGGTTACAGTGGAAATGGAACCCACTGTGAAGATGTCGATGAGGTATGGACAGATGTCTATTCTTGTAACAATATTTCAGAATAGAAAATTAAAATGAAATGAAGTTTAGCCAATGGCGGGTTCAGGTTGGGAGTGCCTTTCCACTTATTAACTGTCTCCATGAAACGTGTAAATTTCAGCTTTTCGTTTGTTGGGACCGCCGCCCCCCCCCCCCAATCAAATATCTTACATCCGCCATTGGCTAAATATGATACTCTTGGCTACCTATAATATTTGTTATTTTACTGTCGATATAGTCGATCGCGTGATACTGTAATATTTGTTATTTCAGTGTCGATATAGTCGACCATGTGATGCTCTAGCTACCTGTGAGAATTTATCACCTGGTTTTACCTGTACGTCCTGTCCACCTGGGTATACCAGCCCACCTGTACAAGGTGTTGGTTTAGAGAGCGCTAAAACACAAAAACAGGTAAAATTACAAAATTACTTCTGCCCCAACCGAGTAAAATCTCACCAAACACATGTTGATATTATTCCGAGGACATCAATTGTGTGTACTAGGTCTGTATAAAGTACATGTTATTCCGAGGACATCATGTGTGTCTTTTCATAGGTCTGTATAAAGTACATATTATCAAGGGAGATGGGTAACAACGACTGTGTAATTGGGACTGGATACTATGGTCTGATTTGTGTAATTTGTATGGGTATTTGTTTATATTTATATTTGTTTATATTTATATTTGTTTATATTTATTTATATTTATTTATATTTATTTATATTTATATTTATATTTATTTATTTATATTTATTTATATTTAGTTTATATTTATTTATATTTATATTTAGTTTATATTTATTTATATTTAGTTTATATTTGTTTATTTGTATCTGTTTATATCTGTATTTGTTTATTTGTATTTGTTTGCATTTGTTTATATTTGTAATTGTGTTTATTTGTATTTATGTATATTTGTATTTATGTATGTTTATATATTTGTATTTGTTTATATTTGTAATTGTATTTGTTTATATTTGTAATTGTAATTGGATTTGTATTTGTTTATTTGATTAGATCTGTGAAGATATCAATGAATGTAATGATGGTAGAAATGGTGGATGTGTTGTTAATTCTCGCTGTGTCAATACACCAGTAAGTTATTTACATTTATTTAAATATATACCCTGTTTTCTTAATTCATAACCAACTATTGTTTGTAGGGTTTATGGGGAGTACACAGGTATTTCAGCTAAATAGTTAGGGTCAGTAGTTAAGTTTCCAACATAGCACACTGTATGACGTATGCCCGCCCGTTTTACCGTTGGTACATTCAGAAAGCCTATTTCACGTCTGCTTGTGATTATAAGGGTCGTTATCTACATTTCAGGGATCCTATAGATGCGGTAATTGTATTAAGGGTTTTACCGGGAATCAGACAGTTGGGTGTACCCCAGCCGGTATCCTGTGTCCCGATGGTGTTACCAGATGTTCTGAAAATGCTAAATGTATAAGAAGACGAGGATTTGATGGATACGTCTGTCAGGTAAGTGGTTTGAGGACGGGGCCACAGTGGATCTGTGAATTAACCAGCACGCCCAGGGTTCGATCCCGGTATTGGTGTTAGCATTCTGATTAAGAGATCCCTACCACAATGCGTTGACCGCTTCGATCATTTTTAAATACGGAACTGAACTGATCAATTCAAAGTAAACCATATATATTACGTATTCTGTTCTAAATGACGATTCTTCAACCCAATACCTTAGAGATCTTCTCAACACCAATAAACCCTTGCAGTAACCCTTCAATCACAATCAGACAACCTCTTAATTAAGCCTTTTTCAAAAGACCAACTCCGGTGATAGATCTTTCGTCGTCGGTGCTCCGAAGTTATTGAATTCAATATCAAACGAAACCAAAAGCGCAAATTATATTAAAGGTTTTAAAAAGTATCTCAAAACTGAACTGTTTAATCAAATATACAGCTGATTGAAAATGGTTCCAACTGTGTTTGTGTCAGACTTTTACCATGTGTACTAAATAATGTTCTCCGTTTTTTGTTTATGTCTTTTTTATGGATTAATGTGTTGTGATTGTTGTAATTTTATATAAGTTGTATTTATGTAAAGCGCCCACGAGAAGCTCGCTGAGTTGAATTATTATTATATTCGATTCACGAACCATAAATTATATAAGGAAAATATTCATCTTGGCCATCTTTATTAACCCAGTCGTTCGGATGGGACGAAAAACCGAGGTCCCGTGTACACATTGGCGTGTGCCAGTTCCAGTGTAATGTAGGGTATGCTGGTGATTTTATTTGTTTCGTTCCAGTGTAATGTAGGGTATGCTGGTGATTTTATTTGTTTTTGTTCTAGTGTAATGTAGGGTATGCTGGTGATTTTATTTGTTTTTGTTCCAGTGTAATGTAGGATATGTTGGTGATATTATTTGTTTTTGTTCCAGTGTAATGTAGGGTATGCTGGTGATTTTATTTGTTTTTGTTCCAGTGTAATGTAGGGTATGCTGGTGATTTTATTTGTTTTTGTTCCAGTGTAATGTAGGGTATGCTGGTGATGGTAAGAAGTGTTTTAAAGACACAGATTTAGATGGTATACCAGATGAAGCTTTACCCTGTAACGACAGACGCTGTAAGAAGGTGAGGCTAAACCATTTCTTGGTTGAATTAACAAATACAATACCCGGTAGTGGGGAGTTGGATGGCCAAATAGGGCGTTGTATCACAAGGTCTGTCATTGAGTCAACCGGTGAAGTTATGATTATGATTTTTGATTTTCTGCGAAATTCAGCATTCCGCAACTATCAACTTTCAGACTATACACAAAATAAAATGGTCTTACCATTTGAAAATTATCTGAAAATTATCAGAATACATCAGTCTTGGTGTGGTAGCTAGTTACGCTTTAATTGGCGTTTAGTGTCCACAAGATGGTAGATAAGTCTATTAATGACAGGACAAGGTGTCACTCTTTTAAAAAGTTGAATAAGCATGTTGAAATTGTCTCACACCATGTATATAAGTGCCAAGACTAATGTCACAAATGTGGAAGTAAGCCCCCCTGTCACAGGCTGATTAAAATACAGATCTATATTTCGTTTCGTTTTTTTTTTATACTTTCGATGGCCTCCACTACATGAAGATCTGACCGGTTGTAGTGGAAGGTCGTGTTAGGGTTCAATACTGATGATGTAAATGTATTGCAGGATAATTGTGTTACTGTACCAAATAGTGGCCAAGAAGATGCTGATGGCGATATGATTGGTGATGCTTGTGATGATGACATGGATAATGACGGTATCGTCAATAACCCCGTAAGTCTATATGTAACTTTTTTTTATGTAAGAACATGATGCCGGGGCCGCCGAATCAAAACGAATATTGGCCCCCTAACTTTACCCTGTATAGTCAGAGTAGGGCACCGGAGATAGGGCCGGGAGTCCAATAGGGCTTCATGGCCCACGGAGCGATGTACCGACTGCAACTGCCTCTCCTGTGAGGTGCTAAGTGAACCGAGTTCGGTAAGATATAAAATTTGGAATGTAAAACGAAAAGCGAAGTGAAAGTCATCAGATTGACCCCGGAGCCATTGTTTGTTCTTCATTAGAATAATTGTCCATTTATAGTTAAGACTGTCCATTGAAGTTATTGTTTATATTTACGATAGCTGTCCATTAGTAGCTAAACTTGATCCCGAATATCTGTCCATTTATATTTAGGATAACTGTCCATTGGTAGCTAATCCTGATCAAATAGATTCTGAACCAGGTGAACCTGATAAACGTGGCGATGCTTGTGATAATTGTCCTACAGTTCCTAATGCTGATCAATCAGACACGGACACAGATGGTCTGGGCGATAATTGTGATCCAGATATAGATAATGATGGTAAGTTGTCCTGCAGTGATAATGATGGTAAGTTGTCCTGCAATAATGAAGATTGTAGGTTGTCCTGAAATGATGGTACGTTTTCATGATAATGATGGTAAGTTGTCCTTCCATGATAAAGATGGTAAGTTGTTCTGCTGATGATGGTAAATTGTCCTGAAATAATGGTAATTTGTCCTAAAATGATGTTAAGTTTTCATTATACTGGTGGTAAGTTGTCCTGGTGATGATAGAAAGTTGCCCTGGTGATAATGGTAAGATGTCCTGCAATGATGGTAAGTTTTCGTGATGATGATGATGATGATGATAATGATACAGGATCAAACTGGTAGATTTGGTTGTTAAAAACTTTAAACGGGTTGAATACCTACCAGGAGCCGCGGTGGCACAGCGTGTAAGGTGCTAGCTCACTAAAAAGGAGAACCCGGTGTTGGTGTTGTTTAATAGGGGTTTTAATTAATCATCTCTGCGATAATTATATCTATATTTTATACATTAATTCCTTTTACTCAACTTTTATATTTATTATTCACTTTCTATGTTTTAATCCTATATTTGTTTTGTCTTTTTTTTTAACATCATATTATGTTGATTGTAAAGCTTCATTAAGCACTTTTGTGGAAATGGCGCTATATGAACGCTTGTAAATAATATATAAATAATAATAACAATAATAATAATGTGGATATTTCCCACATCAACTGTCCTTCCACAATACTATTTTATTTAGTTTTATTTGTATATAACAGGAATATTAAATGGTAATGATAATTGTTTTATTTGTACAGGAATATTAAATGGTAATGATAATTGTATTAAAGTGGTAAATTATGATCAGAGAGATACAGATGGTGATGGTGTTGGTGATGCTTGTGATAACTGTCCTAATGTTCCTAATGAAAACCAGGTATATATTTTATACGTTTTTAGATATAAGACAGGTCCGACTCCGTCTACAGAACAACTCCGTCTAATTGCAGTCACAAACGAATTGTCCACAAGAAGCGGAGAATTCGACTCCACCTAGAACGACTGATTCCGTTCTCAAGAGAAGAGAGGAACCTAAAGTCGGCGACGATTAGACCCGTATGGTGCTGGCACCCTGGGGTGAAATTATAGAGTACTCTGCCCTCATTTTGTTCATACGCCTATTTTTTTGCTATACTGCAAGGTGGTGTTTGAATTCCAACTACAAACTATATATCCACTATACCCAGTCGGACTATGGTTACGCGTGCGAAGGTTGAGGGGACGGGGAGCTTTTATTCTTTGAATTCAAACTATAAAATTTATCAATGTGTAGTTGCCGAACCGTGGATTGTTTTATCTTCCGAAGGACAAGGTAAATATTATTATAATCAGATTAATATAACAATACATGTTTCTATATTTTAGTTTGATACTGACAATGATTTGATTGGTGATTTGTGTGACACCGATGCTGATATGTAAGTTTTCAAAATAAAAGTAATAAAATCGAGCTCACACAATATAGAAAAGTCGAGTACACAATATAGAAAAGTCGAGTACACAATATAGAAAAGTCGAGTACACAATATAGAAAAGTCGAGTACACAGTATAGAAAAGTCGAGTACACAATATAGAAAAGTCGAGTACACAATATAGAAAAGTCGAGTACACAATATAGGAAATTCGAGTACACAATATAGAAAAGTCGAGTACACAATATAGAAAAGTCGAGTACACGGTATTGAAAAGTCGAGTACACAATATAAAAAAGTCGAGTACACAAGTCGATTACACAATATAGACAAGTCGATTACACAATATAGACAAGTCGAGTACACAATATAGAAAAGTCGAGTACACAATATAGAAAAGTCGAGTACACGGTATTGAAAAGTCGAGTACACAATATAAAAAAGTCGAGTACACAAGTCGATTACACAATATAGACAAGTCGATTACACAATATAGACAAGTCGAGTACACAATATAGAAAAGTCGAGTACACAATATAGAAAAGTCGAGTACACAGTATAGAAAAGTCGAGTACACAATATAGAAAAGTCGAGTACACGATATAGAAAAGTCGAGTACACAATATAGAAAAGTCGAGTACACAAGTCGATTACACAATATAGACAAGTCGAGTACACAATATAGAAAAGTCGATTACACAAAATAGAAAAGTCGAGTACACAATATAGAAAAGTCGAGTACACGGTATTGAAAGTCGAGTACACAATATAAAAAAAAGTCGAGTACACAAGTCGATTACACAGTATAGACATGTCGAGTACACAATATAGAAAAGTCGATTACACAAAATAGAAAAGTCGAGTACACGGTATAGAAAAGTCGTGTACACAAAATCGAAAAGTCGAGTACACAACAAAGAAAAGATAGAACTGTAGTAAAATAGTTGTTGATATCGTATGGTTATAATTACAGAGATAAAGATGGCGTACAGGATAATATAGATAATTGTAGAACGAAAGCCAATGCTGACCAGGTTGATACAGATAAAGATGGCAGAGGTAAGATATAATAATTTGGAATATATTTCATCCAAATCACATGTGATGCCAGGGTTACCGAGATAATTCTTATGTACGGGATTAACCCAGATTTTTCCCCATCGGTCACACAGTAGAGTATCGAATACCGCCCATATCGTCGTAAAAACATTAACTATATATTTATGGGTGACCTGGGGCGTTATGGGCACCCTGGGGAGTCATGGACACCCTGGGCCTCATGGGCACCCTGGGGCGTCATAGCCCCCGGATCAATGTACTGATTGAACCCCTCTACTTGTGGCTGTATGATACACTAATGATGTCAAGACTCAAGTCAATCGTACAAACCTCAATTTAGAAAGTCTGTGGACTGAAGTAAAATTGGTCATATTTCGTTTCAAAGTCCAGATTACTGTTTTTGGAATATATGCACGTGGTTTAATGATTCACGTAACTTGTTGACATGTGTATTTTGTTGTTTTGTTGGTTCAGGCCCCACTAGTGGGGAGTATACTCGGTGCGCCGCCCCAGGGTCCATAAAATTCTATGGGGTCTATGAATATCAAAGTTCAAAATTGAAATGGGCAATTATGCATGAATTTCTTTTTGTTCCTTTGAAGCTTATATAAGTATATGTATGTACAAAAGTTTTACGCTTTATCGCAATCTGCTAGTGAATCGGAGGGGTTAGATGGCCGAATGGGTAGCACGTGCGCTTTGTATCATAAGGTCTGTCATTGAGTCAACTGGCGGGGTTTCGATTCCCCGGTTGTACGTGACAAGAAGTATGGCCGCCTGTCCAACCTCGTGGGTTTTCTCCGGGTTCTCCGTTTTCCTCCCACTGCTAAAGCCCCTACGCGCAAGCGAATTATTGAAATAAAATTGAACGAACCATATGTTAGTCCCGAAATGACCTAGTTTGTGTCGAGTGGAAGTTAAACCCCATCTCTCTCTCTCTCTCTCTCTCTCTCTCTCTCTCTCTCTCCCTGCTAGTGAATCAATACTAGTGTATTTATTTCCTCTTAAGGACCCTGTGTTGGTGTGTATAATTGTTGTTTGTTGACATGTGTATTTTGTTGTTTGATTGTTATTGTTGTTTGTTTTAGGTGATATTTGTGATGAAGATGATGATAATGATTCTATAGTTGATGAACTGGACAACTGCCCACTGGTCAAAAATCAAGATCAAGTCGATATAAATAGTACGAACTTCCTCTTATACCTTTACAGTTCTATTCTCAAATGTTATGTCCGTTTTGCATTGGCCGAGAAAGTTCATCCAGATTTTCCGGCGTGGTTCTCCCTTGTCAGTGATGCAGGACGGAGGGGCTGACAAGGAAAGCTGTCTAGTCGTTCGGATGGGACGAAAAACCGAGGTCCCGTGTACACATTGGCGTGCACGTAAAAGATCCCTTGGCAGTTGGAATTCGATATAAGAGTAGGCCGTAGTGCCGCTGTCCGGGCAAAATTTCCCTCATTGCACACTGTATTGCGTATGCCCGTCTTCATTAGCCCAGGTTAGGAGCAGAACAGTAGGACGTTAAACTCCATTTCATTTCATTTCATTTTGTTATGTCCGTTTTCCATGTACTCTTTGGCGGTTAAATTTCCATTAGACCACTGACTTTTTCGCCGGCGGAAATGAGGGTGGAAACGCGTACGTGGTTTCCCCCATGTCCGTGGTGCAGGATGGAGGGTCTTACAAAGACAGCTGTCTAGTCGTTCGGATGAGACGAAAAACTGAAGTCCCGTGGATACATTTGCATACACGTAAAAGATCCCTTGACAGTTGGAATTCGATATAAGAGTAGGCGATAGTGCCGCTGCCCGGGCAAACTTTCACTCATAGTACACTGTATGGCGTATGCCCGTCTTCATTGGCCCAGTTCGGAGCAGAACAGTAGGACGTTAAACCCCATTTCATGTCATTTTATTTATACATTCATCTATATGTTTATTTCTTTCAAAATGACAAGAAACCTACTAACCAGAAGTGGGTCGTGGTGGCTCAATGAGTCTAACGTTGACTCGCTAACCTGGTTTCTCGTGTCCGAGAAAGCTCATCGGGTTTTCCGGCAGTGGTTCCCCATTGCCAGCGGTGTAGGACGACGGGTCTGGCAAGGGACAACGTATAGTCGTTGTTAAAGAACCGTAGCGCCGCTGTCCTGGCAAAATGTCTTGGGATTGTTTAGTGGTTTTCCCTTTGTCAGTTGTGCAGCTCTAATATCCTCCATAGTACAGAGCTAGTCGTTCGGATGGGACAAAAAAAACTAGGCCCCGCCCCACAAGAAATGCTAAAATGGTATACATGTAAGTGATAATTATATTATCTGTTTCCAGTAAAGAAGATGCAGGGGGGGGGGGGGGCGATTCCCCGGTTGTACGTGACAAGGAGTAGGGTCGCCTGTCCAACCACGTGGGTTTTCCCGGGGTCCACCGGTTCCCCCCCCCCCCACACACACACACACTGCTAAAGACCCTTACGCGCAAGCGAATTATTGAAATAAAATTAACCCATATGTTAGTCCCGAAATGACCAAGTTTGTTTCGAGTGGACGTTAAACCTCATTTCTCTCTCCCCCGTTTCCAGGAAATGATACGGGTGATAATTGGGTTATAATTGGGTCATAATTAACTCAATCTGATTAAAATACAGAACTATATTTCGTTTCATTATTTTATACTTTCGATGGCCTACACTACGTGAGATCTGATCGGTTGTAGTGGAAGGTCGCGTCAGGGGTCATACGAGCGGCTTTTGACCCTATGACGTCAGACATTTGATTAACCAACCAGCATTGATGTTTCTACTGGATTACCCACAGTTCCTCGCATCTCACGCCAAGAACTCGCCGTAACAGACCGTTTCATTGGTTAATCCCTCACATCATCCAGAACACGTCAATGATAACAACTCTTCCAGATCCTAGTGTAGTAAAGACAAGTAAAACGAAATTTTGAACTATAAAAAACGAAACGAAATAGGATATCTGTTTAAATCAGATTATGATTAACCTATGCTCTGTTTCTAGGAAATGGTGTAGGAGATATATGTGAGAACGATACTGATGGCGATGGTCATCCAGATGAATTTGATGTCTGTCCATTAAATGGTGAAATCTACGCCACAGATTTCAGAGCTTATCAAACAGTTATTTTAGATCCAGAAGGAGATTCGCAGATTGATCCAAACTGGATTATTCTAAATCAGGTTTTTATGTGGTTTTTTGTTGGGGGTTTTTTTTTACAATTTATGAAACAATTTTGACGTCCCGGACACATTTGGCAAAAGGCAAAGCCGTAAAGTTTTTGATTCAAAGGGAATTAACATAAGGTTTCACAGATGTATACTATTCAAAAAAAGTAGGGGATATTTGATTTTGGGGGCATAATACTAAAATATGCAAATGAGTACGAAAAAAGTCACTATAGAACCTAACAGAAGAAACATTTCCAGTTACATGTGACGCCTAAACGCACCAATAGCTACCGCATGGAATGCAGGTGATGCTTGGGATCATCATGGGGGTCCAACCCAAGATTTGCACGACTCTGATTTTGAATGTTACAGTCATTGTGGCATTGAATTCCAGGGTGGAAACATCAGTTTAATTGTTTTAGTGACCAGAAAACAAATTTTGATATGCGTCGGCTTACCCAAAATGAAAGGTTACGTGCCCTTGGCATGCTACAGATCGGCACAACACAGGCGGTTGTGGCGCGGACGATGAATGTTTCTCAGTCTGTCATAAGCAGGCTATGGTCCAGATACCGTGATACACAATCTGTACAGGACAGACCACGCTCAGGTCGACCAAGGGCGACAACTCAAGCCCAGGATCGATTTATCCGTACCTTGGCCTTGAGAAATCGTGTCATCACAGCAAATCAGATCAGCGCTCGTCTTCAAATAGAC